AGCAAGAAACTGAACAGTATTTATATAGTTTTTTTACCTCTGATTCACGCAATGTCCGAACTGTCCTGAGCGCGTTCTCAACAGCAGGCACGTGTGGCGTCTAGAAGAAGATGCGAACGCACTCAGGACAGTTCAGACATTGCGGTGAAAATCAAAGGTAAAAAATGATATAAATACTGTTGTGTTTTTTTAACAGACCGATCGTTTTGTGTCTTTACACATCAATGTATCGTCACGAGCCGCAGGGTTTAATTTGGTTTTGTTTGTGTGTTTTATGACTCTCAAAGCCGTGATTCCCATCCACTTCAATTATAAGACTGGCAGACTGCAACGGTTTGAGTTAAAAAATCTCTGTTTGTGTTCTACTGAAGAAACAAAGTCACCTACATCTTGGATGCCCTGGGGGTAAGCAGATAAACATCAAATTTTCATTTTTGGGTGAACTATTCCTTTAATGCTTTGGGATACGCATTGCTCGTGTCCACTAGATGGAGACTGTATATGGGTTATTGTAGTGCTGGTCACGTTGCCAGGTGCTCTAAAATCCCTTGTTTGTTCTACCAGGCAGCCAAAGCTCAAGCAGATTCAGCTTCGACCCAGAAGGCAGAGAGGGAGGTGACAAAGATGGTGGTGGTGATGGTGTTCGGCTTCTTGGTATGCTGGGCACCATATGCTAGCTTTTCTCTCTGGATAGTTTTCCACCGTGGTGAAGCATTTGATCTGAGAATGGCAACCATACCATCCTGCCTTTCTAAAGCCTCTACAGTGTACAATCCTGTCATCTACGTCTTAATGAACAAACAGGTATGGCATTATGTGCTAAGTGGAAATTTTAAGTATTGTTGAAGTTTGTCCCCACAGGGCTACAGTACCAAATGCCATGTTCACATGGCATGACTATCACTTCAAGTAACATGTTCTGCTCTTTTTTTTTTTAAACACAGTTCCGTTCCTGTATGATGAAGATGGTCTGTGGCAAAAATATTGAGGAAGATGAGGCCTCTACTTCATCTCAGGTCACCCAGGTCTCCTCTGTTGCGCCAGAGAAATAAACCCATTCTCAATGTAACCTCATCCTGTGGACATAACCACTGTGGCAGTGAAAAACAATTTTACAACGATTGTAAATAATAAACATAGACGCAATAGGAATTCTCGCTTTTAATGTCAAAATTTTTGTAACTTGGTCTTGGCTTGCTGAACCAGTAGAATTAGTAGAAGCTCACTGTTATCATTAAAAATGTACAATAAATGCAATGAAAGAAAGAATTGTGTTGTTAAATGTATCAGTTGAAGAGTAGTGACGTACAATGGTTAACATTTAGTCATTTAGCAGACGCTTTTATCCAAAGCGACTTACAAATGAGGACAATGGAAGCAATCAAAATCAACAAAAGAGCAATGATATGCAAGTGCTATAACAAGTCTCAGTTATCTTAACGCAGTACACGTAGCAAGGATTTTTTAAATAATATAATAAATAAAAAGAAAACAGATAGAATAGAAAAAGAATAGAGCAAGCTAGTGTTAGAGGTATTTTTTGCCTTTGTTAATTGTATAATAAATTAAAAGAAAACAGATAGAATACAAAAAGATTAGAAAGCTAGTGTTATTTTTTTTTTTTTTTTTTAAAGAAAGAAAACAAGCAGCAAATTAATAGAGTGCAAGTCTAAAAGGGACAAGTGTTTTTTTTTTGTTTTTTTAAGAATAGAATTAAAATTGAGGTTTATATATTAAATATATTACATTTGTCTTATTTCTTCCTGTTTTAAACAGACTGATGTAGTGAGCACACCATTTTACCACAACTAAAACATGAAAGCAGAGAAGTATCTCATATATCTGGTTGTAATCAAGTTGTAATCTAACACATCCAAGGATGGTCTGAAAAATAAAGTCAGAGTATTATCTGGTATGCAAAACTGCTTTGCATTGAATTGCTGCACTAATATTTCATGATTTTTTAATTAATGTATAATGTATATTTTTAATTAATAATGTACAGTGGTTTTCAATGTGTCATTGCTCACGTCACTGATTTGTGTATGCATGCTTTATACTCACCTTAACTTCTTGTACTTCATCCAATAAGTAGATCACTTCCAAATCAAGAGAAAAGTGCAAAGAAAGAATGTGAAGTTAGCTTTTTCAATTTTCAAACCAGCCTAACACAGTCAAATCAAGAGCAAGATCAACTTGGTAGTTCATCTAGAAATTAAACCACAGATGATGTTAGAGAAACGATGAGCAGTAAAAGCAAAGTTTTGCCCATGTTAGATTAACATCTATCGTATGGATTAATTTCATTCAAATTTATTTTTTAAAAATACACATTCAGCACTATATACCGTGAATATAGCAGTTGTCCAATGGCAGGCCATGTGAGACCAAACTATTCTTGAGCTTTCGTTGAGAATTCAGTTGTATATCCGAGTTCTGCTAGTAGTGAACTTTTGCCAATCACGAATAGTTCAGAACTAGCGGAATTCCAGACATACGACTGACTGAGTGCTGTCCCATGATACTTTCTGATCCATCTGTTTCTGAAAAACATCCTTTTCAACTACGATAGCAACAAAACATCACAATAGTGACCCTTGATTCTTAATCCGACCAAAGCATAGATATTAATTCCATTAAATCCACTTTTACAGAAAGTCTAAAAGATCATAATGAACAAATACCTGATCTGAATAACATACATATCAGTACAATTCTTAAAAACAAGGAAACAACTGGTAGAGTAAAAAAAAAAAAGTTTACAGACTGCTCTTGTCTTTGTGTTGGCTCCATCCTCATCCTGGTTTGGTCTGTTCACGTCCTAGCGTTCACTTCCTCCTGCTCCACTTTGCCACAATAGAAGGAGAAGCAGAAGACTGAAAAAGAAAGAAAGAAAATGCCTATCGTCAGAAACAGGGAGAAATTAAAACTGACCTCATCAAGATTTTCAGATAAACCCTGCTTTCCCTAAACTGAACCATCAATCCAGTGGGATTAGGAAGGTTTGGGCGGCATCCTTGTCAATACTAATTAGGATCCTGTGTGGAGGGTACCTGGGTACCCCAGTTTTCCCAATAAGCTTATTTGGACTTGGACTGTAACCTAGATGTCTGACCCTGCACAAAACATGATGAGTATGATTGAAATTGTTTTGAAATGTCACGAAAGAGTAATGATTAAGAGTTGTTGGGCATAAACTGTGTGGAACTGTGTTTACAATGACACTGATATCATTGAGAAAATGTTCATGTCCTTTATTAAGACTTAAATATACTCTGTAAAGTATTCAGTCAAGTTGTGCAGTCATTTTAACATTATTTATGACTTAGGTGAACCTGCAGTATATATTGAAACGGCCTAAAATCTTTGAAACTTCTTTAATGATAATAATATCCTTAGAACCACATACACCTAAAAACATTTTTGTGCTGAATGTTGCATATGTGTTTGTGTGTGTGTGTGTGTGTGTGAGTGCGGAATATAATAGAATAGAAGCTACGTAATAGATTCTATGCAGTATATAAGGAATTAATGTGCAAATGAGCAGTATTTGTGCAATGCGCCAATTAATACAATCTACAACTTAAAATAATGTAAAGATTCTTTACTCCTGCAGTAGGCAGCAGGGGCCATTATACAAAAAAACATGCTGTAACTCTAGAATCCTGTTTTATTTCTTTATTGCCATTTCAGTTTTTTAAACTTTATTTTTTATTGTAAAACCCATAATGGAACATTTCTATGCATTTTTTGAAACCTAAAAAGCAGAGTTCTACTGAGCACCAGAGAGGATTCTGATATTTTTACAAGCCAGGGCACTCTAATGCTGTTTTTGTTTCAGAAAATGCCATGTTTTTACTTGCAATAATTATCTTATGCATGTTTAATAAAAGTCACTCTTGACACACTGTCCAAGAAGCTTCAGTCAAGGGCAAAAGTGATCTGTGACCTAAACTTAAAACTTAGAAAGCATCAAAGGGCGCTGTCACCTTAAAATCACTCCTGTCTCGGTCATGCCAAATGTCACTGCACACTGTTTGGTTTACCTGTGATGGCTTCAACAATCCTAGGAAGGAACAGTAGCTTAGGCCTCCTGTAAGCCTAATGAATGAGTCTTGGTTCTGCTCCTGATACCTGTTTTGACCTCAAAAATTCTCCAGCCTGTAAGCCAGGGCATCCTCCTTTTTCACATATAAAAGCACTTTGACAGGAGCCCGAAGTCTGTCGGTGCGAGTCGGCCAGAGACAGCAGATAGTACAAACATAAAGGCCCAGACCTTTACAACAGCCAGGTAACTACAGGTTTGGGCTACACAACAACGGCCAACAATGGCAGAGCAGTGGGGAGACGCAATCTTCGCAGCCAAGCGAAGGGGAGATGAAACGACAACGGAAACAATGTTTGTATATACCAACAGCAATAACACCAGGAGTGAGTCTTTAGTATTTTTTTCTGAATTATTTCTCAACACATTATTGTAATTTGAAAAACAGAGATATTCTGTTAACGATAAAGCCATGTGAAAGTCTTTGTGGGCTTTAAACTGTTTCAAAATAGTGACAAAGTAATAGGAAAGGAAATTTTTATAGTCAGTCTTAAACTTCAAATGTTTGTTTTTTGACCTGCCAGAAGGAACATACCGGACAAAGAACAATTTCAGACTGATAAATATGAAGCTTTAGAAAAATGAGAGTTGGTTGCAATGGCTGTTAAGTGAGAACTCCTTCAAGGTGATATCACTGTTCTTTATTTCGCATTTCCAGATCCCTTTGAGGGACCCAACTACCACATTGCCCCTCGATGGGTGTACAACGTAGCAACATTATGGATGTTCTTTGTGGTCATTGCCTTGACTTTCACCAATGGCCTGGTGCTGGCGGCCACAGCCAAATTTAAGAAACTCCGTCACCCTCTTAACTGGATCCTGGTCAACCTCGCTATAGCTGATCTAGGAGAGACTCTTTTGGCCAGCACCATCAGTGTCATCAACCAGATTTTCGGCTACTTTATCCTCGGACACCCCATGTGTGTTTTTGAAGGCTACACCGTGTCTGTATGTGGTAAGTTACTGCCCAAAGACATAATTGTTCACAACTACAGATAAATGCATTGGACCAAAGTTTAATATTTTACATTTTTGAAACTTTGTCAGGTTTTTCATAGTACCTAACAACACAATCAACAGGTATCGCTGGTCTGTGGTCTTTGACGATCATCTCTTGGGAAAGATGGGTGGTCGTCTGCAAACCATTTGGAAATGTCAAGTTTGATGCTAAATGGGCATCTGCTGGTATCATCTTCTCCTGGGTTTGGTCTGCTTTCTGGTGTGCACCTCCCATCTTTGGCTGGAGCAGGTAAAATCCAATATTAAATCATCTAAATGAATGATTTTACAGCATTTGACATTTGACAGCTAGGTGTATATTCATTCAACATCAAATTATTGAATTCTTTGGCTGGTACCACAAGCATGTAAGTTCCACACAAGCTAAAATGTGGATCTTCCGATCCATTATCTTCTCACAGATTCTGGCCTCACGGTCTAAAGACCTCCTGCGGGCCTGATGTCTTCAGTGGAAGTGAGGACCCTGGCGTCCAGTCCTACATGATTGTCCTGATGATCACCTGCTGTATCATCCCTCTGGCCATTATCATTCTCTGCTACATTGCTGTGTGGCTGGCCATTCATGCTGTAAGTTGTCTCCTGGACTGCTTTCAGAAGTTTTTCCAGTTTGTAAAAAGGCACTAAGCATCTATCATTTCTTTCCAACAGGTCGCCCAGCAGCAGAAGGATTCTGAGTCCACACAGAAAGCAGAGAAGGAAGTGTCCAGAATGGTGGTTGTCATGATCCTGGCCTACTGTGTTTGCTGGGGACCTTACACGTTCTTCGCCTGCTTTGCAGCTGCAAACCCAGGCTATGCCTTCCACCCACTGGCAGCAGCCATGCCTGCCTACTTTGCCAAGAGTGCCACCATCTACAACCCCATCATTTATGTCTTCATGAACCGACAAGTAAGCCAATACTGTTTCACAGAGCTCAGACCTTGAGCACATTGAGAAAACTTCGCAAAATAATCCTGATTTGTCTTTCTTTGCAGTTCCGTGTATGCATCATGCAGCTCTTTGGAAAGAAGGTGGATGATGGCTCCGAGGTGTCCACATCCAAGACAGAAGTGTCCTCTGTGGCTCCTGCATAAATTGCACACCAGATCTCAGAGCAAACGTCTTGACTCTGACATGGGGAAAAAAGATGACAATGGGACTTTTTATATTCCTTGTTTACCCTCACCGTATCTTGATGATTCTGCTTCCAGATATTTCCCTTGGAGTGATGGATGTTGCATGACAGTGTGTGTTAACATTACTTTCTCAGTGGCCCTGTGACATAAGATCCACAGGAACGATGTTACAGTTTTTATGGTAATCATTTGTCACACAATCATTTGTCCACTGGCTATTCAGAAGGTTGTGCGCCTATATACAACACTTCTTTGTGGGAATGTGACACTCAATGTGGATTAACTAACAACGAAAAGAACTCGCCTCATTCTAATGTACAATTCTGCTGGATGGCAATGTATTAACAAGTTTTTTTTAGCCATCTTGCAAGAAAACAAAAATGACAAAGAAATGTTTGATAGATAGATGCCTGCCCATGTACAGCTTGTAATATGGTTCTATTTTTTTCTTTGATGAAAATAAAAAAAGCAGCAAAATAAATATTTTGTTTTGTGTCTTTCATTATTAGACATATTACAAGAATTAAAATGATCATATTTTATATTTAAATATTTAATGTTGACTATGCTTATATTCCCCTGGCATTAAATTTCAATCAATCAATAACTAGTCAACACGCTACAAGGATGTTACAGTTGCTGAGGAAATGACTGTAAATTTGACATCCTAATTATCCGTGACAATCCATCTCTATATGTTTTTCCTATTTTGGAAAGTCTTGGAAATCCAATAGTGGATTTGTCTTTTGCAGCTGAAGTTAATGGGAATGGAAAAACAATATTTGCTATGGTCTCCTATACGTCTGTGTTCCAAACCTGAAAATGTGAAAAGAGTCCGTTATCTTGTTTCAAATGGTCTTGTCTCTTATTTCAATTTTACACGTTTCCCATGTTTCACTTCAAAGAAAGTAAACCATAAAGAAATTGCACTGAAATCCCTAAGACAGCCAGACAAAATCCACTTAAAAGAAAATAACTTTCAATTCAGTATGTTTTATTGTAGGCTACTAGACAGGATCGAAAGTTTAAAAGTCACTTAGAAGTCTACAAATAAGAGCAAGTCAATTGCAATTCCCCCATTTAAGCCTAAGGGGGCTAAGCAATTTCAATTGGAACGTGACACTAAAAGCACTTCTTATCTAAGGAAGATTAACCTCGAACTAAGGTCTTACCTTTTTAATTCTGAGTATCCATGTGCCCCTGTGTGTGCATGGGTGCAAATGTAGAGTATGCATGGACGTGTGCGTTCATACCAGCAGTTAAGGCCCATACTGTAATTTCACATGCAGATTTGGGTGCACTTCCTGTACCTCCCAGCTA